TCCACCCCAATGTAATGAAAGCAAATTTTTGACCCAGTTTAAGAAAAAAATTTTTTTTTTCTTCTCCAGACATGTTTTGCTAATCCTTCTTCTCTAGGGGAAGGGCCAGTCAGTAATTACAGATGATTTCAGTCAGGAACTTAATCCTATTTCTGGTCTGGCATCATCTCCTCCATTTTTCCCTCTTTACTGATCTGTGCTTTTCTCTGCCATGGGGCTGTGTGTGTATTGTTGATGGGCTGCAAGGCATCTCTCTGCCCCGTGTTCACTTGTTCAGTTTCCAGTCTCTACAGTGCAAGGGTTTGTGTTCGTCAAATTAGAAGAAGAAAGTCATCACCACTAATAGATTTTGTTAAAACCTGAAGAACTGAGAAGGAGAGAATGAAAAAGCACTGTGTAAAATAAACTGTGTCGTGAGTACATAATTTTGATTCAGTTCATTAAGAGCATGATACCATTGGGTGTTGCATTTTATGAAACAGATACACAAGAGTATTACTGTTATAAAATCGGGCTCCTCATTGACTGGGGAATATCCACCTAGCCTGCCGGTGAGCAGATATGGGATGATTTGTTATTTATAATGTAGAAGATTTTGGGGAACATTACTCACAACCCATCTTTCATTATGAGCAGCCCGTGGCTTATGTTAAGTATGCTGATTCAAAATACCTGAATTAGAATGAGCCGTGTCAGGTTAGATCAATGTATTGCATTTATAGCAACTGGATAATTCAAATTCTTAAGTGACACTTAATTCATTCTGAAAATGTGCCCTGAAAAGCCCAAAGGGGGATCAACGTGCCTAATTAAACATAAGCATAAGCATGTCATGATAGGCATATTGGTTATAGGAAGTAGAAGAGGAGAACAGTACTATGAAGAGAAGACAATCTTGGTGGGTGGAAGATAGGCCAGCATAAAGGCACTGGGGCCGGTTTTTGGAAGCAGTGGAATGCTGAAGTGGTGAATTTGAGGCTAACTGCAAGGACACCGGACACGTCAGCCACTTACTAGCTCCGACTTTGGGAAGTTCCTCAGTGTCCTCCTCTATAAAATGGTGGTGCTGGTAGCAGCCCACCTCGTAGAACTGACATGGAAATTAAATTGTTTATTGTAACACACTCAGAATAGTGTCTGTGGTTGGCAAATCCTGGGTAGGTGTTTGCTAATATTATTCAGTGACTTCTGTGGACCATCCCTGAATCCAGTCTGGCTTTCCAGATTTGGCAATTGTGCTTGCAGTGAAGTGAAATGAAGAATTTCGAAGCACATCAGCAAGTAAGAGCTCAGGAGTTCTATAGTCCTCCCTCCTCTATCCTTCCAACTGAGATGGTGCATCACTTTGAGGTCAAATTACGTTATGACAACATTAAAGCCTCCTGGGCGGAGCTTTTAGTTAACCCACCACCCCCTTCTAACTTTTATAGTCCTCATGATACTAACACACAGAAACTAGTCCTCTGCATTCTTGAGCTTACACCTTCTAGTTGAGGTACCTTGACTTTGGCTTTGCTGACTATGCTTCCCATGTGTGGGCTTCTCTTCTGCCCTGAGGGTCCTATGTCATCAAAGACTGCTGTGCTTTGCACTTGGAGGCAGGCCAACTTAGGGTTAAACTATCACCCAGGCATTTGGGAAATATATTGGCTTATCCATCGCCTGTTTCCAAGGCCCTCTTGCCAAGGCAGGCTTCTAGGGCATGCGACCTGTGAGTTGGACAGGGCTCAAGCCCTCGGAAAGGCCCCACGATTGGTTTCATGCTCTATTAGTACCACCTTGAAATTCTTAATTTTGTGTTTGGATTTTGTTTTGAAAGCAAGTTTGATTGGAAAATGGAACACGCACATGAGCAGAGGAAATGTACACTGTGTCCCTTCCTCCATGCTACCTACCACATTTGCACAGAATGCATATGTTGCCCCATGAACGTGGAATTCAGGTGGACCCATGATGTGTGGGAGTTCAATGAGTCAAAGCAAAAGTGAGTATACGGTTGATGTATTATGCCTAGCACTGTGTAAGTGACAGCCCTGAGAGGTCACACTCCATTTGAACCAGAGCTGACTTCTAGTACAAGAAGAAACACAAATGACCAAGAAACACTATCAGATCTTTCTTACTAGTGTATTACTTCTCTGCATTAGCCATCTACTTATGCTGAAAATAATAATATAAAAGGAAACAAAAATATAGAGCCACCCATATTTCTTCTTTCCACCATTTTTCTGTACTCATCAGTGAACTAAAGGTAGAATGTACTGGTAGAATATTCATGTATCAAGAAGTGAATTAAAAACAGTTGAGTTAGTTTTGTACTGTGTTTCTACTGTTCTTGTAGGAATGAAATACATATGTTAAATATATATGCATGTATGAGTTACGAAATACAAGTTGTATAATTTCAGTGATTCCACTTACCAGCCAAAGATTAGCAATAAAATTCACACGAAAACTTTAAAATTTCATTTCTTTTTTACTTAGAACAACATTAAATAGCAAATAAAATATGTCATAATAAGAAAAAGTTTGCAGAAGAAAGGATATGTTCGCACATCAATGTCTTTAATGGCACTTTACCCCCTGGTTTATGAATAATGGATCCTCTATTTTTATTTTGCCCTAGGCCCCAGAAATTATTTAGCCAACCATGTCTCTTCCTTAACTACTTTCACTATAGAGGTTGACAAAGCTAAAAGCTTGATTTCCCGTCCTCTTTTGCACTGAGCAGTGGCCATGTGACCAAATTCTGGCCAATGAGACATAGTGAAGTAATTGGGAAGCCTTGGAGAAAACTGAAATGCCTAGTGCAAGGAGAAGGCCTTGATTGAGCTGCTCTTTCCTATGCTGCCCTCCTTGAACACGATCATCATATTTGGGGCTGTGCAGCCATCTTGTGACCATTAGGCAATAAACATGAGAATAGGGCACCAAAGGGCTACAAAAGTTGGGGTGAAAAGCTAAAATAGAGTCTTTGTCCTTGAGGGCCTCGTTGAGCTACTCAGCCAATACCAGCAGCCATCAATCTGGACTTTTTATGTGAGAAAAATAACCCGCTACTATTTTTAAACACTGTGAGCCTTTCCATTGATGTAATCCATTCATTACCAGTGGACATGTGGGCTATAACGTGCCAGCCTGTTCCCAGGGTTTTTCATCAAAAAAAGGACAATTCCTCCTGCTTCTAGCTCTGTCATTTCCATCATCAATCTCTAGGCCAGTCTCTCAGGCTAGTGAGGAAGGTGGGGAGGCAAACATCATATCAGCTTTCCATTCCCCTCCCCTCCCTCTCCATTAGCTCCTGTGTTCCAACACTCCTCTTAGTGGCCCCCACACAAAAGGCTCTGTGATGATCAATCAGTGTTGGTAGGCATCTGGTAGAAGTAGCTTCAGACACACCCCAGAACCATCCACAGCTCAGCCTCAGCCCAGTCAGGTCATCATGTACCTTTTATAATGGCAATAATTTCACTTTCTTACAATTAAGGTAAAATAATAGTGATTGAAGTTAACCAAATGAAAAGAGAATGGACAGAAAACTCCATAAGTAACATCAGAAGAAAACTTAGTCATGGAGACTTTCAGAGTCAGGTGTTTTTCCTTCTTTTATAACCACCTCAATTTTGGTCAAGACAGAAACCCAGTTTCTTTGCCACCGAGTAGCCCACACTGTCATCTCCTAGGAGCCTGGCACTCACATGATTTCAACACACAATAGAGGTTTAGTAATTAAGTACATAATTCCAGAAAAGCAAGGGAAAACAAGGGGCTCAGGCCCTCATTAGGTGAGATGACACATGGCTGGCCCTCGGCCATTAGCCTGGCTGTAATTAGGGCATGTTAACAAGGCTGCTGTTACCCAGCCTTGTATGTGTCTAAGTTTGACATATCAATTTAGAACTGGGTCTTAGTTATTTTTAATAGAAGAAAGTTAGTTAAAACAACATTTTCCAGCAAGAATTAGATGTTTTACTATTTAGCAATTTCCTCCACTGGTAATAGCTTAAATATTTACCAGGGACTTTTAGGGAGCTCCTGTCTTTTACTAGAAGACTTTGTATTGAACTTATTCCGGGAACATGGGTCAGAGTCCTCACTCATCAGTTTATTGCAGGGTCAACCAAACTTCTGAGTTAGCTCCATCCTCTGTTCTTTCCCCTCCCTGCTTTCAGCACAGGAAAGACACAGGATTTGCTGTGTTTGGCTCTCTCTAGACACCATGGTTAACATTTTGGTGGAGGAGTTTGAAATCACGGGCTGAAAGGATATCCCTACTGCAATGCAGTTTTACAATAAAATACCACAGAAATCACTGAAGAGTTGGAGGGATTTTAAAGCATGATGCCATTGTCAGATGAGATGGAACAGTGACAGATCCCACCCCACAGGATTATAGTATCTATAGAATGAAGTTATGTTGTGTAAATGGGAAAGCGCTTCATAGATGCAAGATTATCTTGAGAAAATCAATAACTTCTCCCTTTGTATTGCCTTTATGTGAGGAATTTGGGGGGCATGCTGGCTCTTCAAGTTCAACTTTTAGCTTAGATCTATTTGATGCCCAAAAGAAACCCGCCTGCAGGTATAATAGGGTTACCATAAAAGCTGAACTTCCAACATACGGGTGTGACTAGTATTCTTACTAAATAGACTTATAAAGAAGAGGTCTGCTTCTACTTTGCAGAGACACTTCTGGAAGCACCTCTCCCTGCTTGGCCAACAGTAGTTCCTACTGCACTGAAATGAATGTCCTCCCCTTGTACATATGAGCAAGGGTTAACCTCTGGCAAGATCTTACAGATTAAGCCACATGGAAACAGCATACAGGCTCAGTGGGTCAGACACACTTCAGAGCATCTGGATAAGCCAGATAATTTGTGACAATCCAGAATGTACTAATATTTGCTCACCTTGGACTGATATATTTTATACCTTGACTGTGACACATAATCTCAAAGTGGGGGCCAACTATAAGAATAAACTGATGCTAACACATGAGATTCTGCCATTCCAGTTTATTGAAATGAGTAAATTTATAGCTTTATTTGCATACAGAAAAGTGCACAAGAAAATAAGTATGTACAAAACAGTTGTGTGGCTGATCATCCTTTTCAAAATTTGTCTACTTTCAAAATTTCAACTATCTAGAAATAATTGCCTCCAGTTGAGCACATTCAGGTATTGGGACATATAAAATACTATTTTTAAGTCTGTGTTTATAATGACTGAGTAGGAAGCCAGATGGAAAATCATGCCATACATGATCAGCTATTACCATTAAACATAAAACCACAAGACTTTAGCTCGGACTACGTGGGACTAATCAATAAAGGTTCGTGAGGCCACCATCTTGTTTTGATCCTGAGCAGTCATCCTCCTCTTCTACCTAAAGGTAACCTTGTATGGTTGATTAACACCCACAAGAACCTGAGCACTAAGGGTCAAGAGACAACATTTAAAAACCCAACATAAACATAACAAAATGAAACTCATTTTGGCAAGAACAAATCCTTCAGAACTGTGCTAACAATATGACTGGAAATGAACTGGGAGAGTTTCCAAGGTTATGAGGAGGAAAAAACTGCAGACATTAGATTTTTCAATGGTAACACCAAATACTTGTTCTACAGCTTCTCTCCTCCCACCCCCTCACCATTTATCTTCCAACTAACTATGAGATTGTAGCTTCAAGCAAGTTTTCCAGTTACTTGATAAAGGTCTAGTATGACCCCATATAAGCACCTAATATATTTGGCACAATCACATTGAACTTTCTGATGTGTTGGCTCTTCAGAATACAGTCCTTCATTGCTGAGTTGAGTTCAGTTTTTCTTCAGTTTTTCTTTCATCTTCTTCAACATGAACTGCTCTTCTGGAACTTCAGCTCAAGAGGATGGCCTCCTATTCCACAGAAAGGATAAAGGTTGTGTCCATTTGCGATTCGTTACGGGATTTAGCGATTACTGAGAAGGCAGAGATGTTTCAGATCCATGAATCCTTAGATTTTTTTTTTTTTGCCCCATAAAACTCTGTTGCTTGTGGAAGGGAAGTAATGTTATATGAACCTGGGAGCAAAACTGACTGAAAAAAAGAATCAGAGGGAAGAGGAGAGGAGAGACAAATAATGTTTTCCCCTCATTTGCACTATCTAGCAAGAGATTGGAAAAACAACAACAACAACAATCTTGCCCTTGAGAGAAAATAATCTTCAGAAAGAGAACTTATATTTTTAAAAAGGTCCTTAAGTGTATCAGATTCCCAGTTGTCTAGGGAGAAGTTGGACTTGCTTCAATTTTACTTTAAAAATTCTCTATAAATGTTGATATGAAGCAAGATTTAAGAAGGTGCCTTGTTATACTATAACCTTTAGGTTTTGTGCTATAAAATAGAAGCCCCAACAACTCTGAACAGTAAGGATTTTAAAATTTATTCAAAACAGTGTCATCTGAGGAGTTGTGGTGGCTGCATCTCTCAACCAGAGGGTCCATGGTAGTGTTCTAGAAGGTTCTAGAACACACTAGGCAATGGTTCAAGTAGGGAAACTACTTTATTTACATTTAAGCTAGAGAATTTAGATTCTTAATTTATTTAAAGCCATAAATTCAGTTTAGCTTTAATCTAAACAGAAAAGTGAAAGGCATTTTACAAGTGGAAGAGGCAGCAAGCAATAAGGTAACAGATAGTATGTCAAAGCTGGAATGAGAGCAGAGGTCAGGACGTGTCTGGCTATTAACTTTGTCCTTGACAACTAAGGCCAACCTTTTTGTTCCTCTGGATAGTCAGCATATCAAGTTCCTAGAGAAGTGTAGAGAAAAAAACAAAACAAAACCCATGGTTAGAATTTTGGGGTTAAATATCAGTGTATTAAATATCAAGTCATCATTTAAAACCTCAATAATAGTATCTCCTAGGGCTGATGTGAGAGGCCTAAATAAGATAAGTACAGAACCTGAAATAAAGTGATTAACACAAATGTTCAATGTTAGCTATTTTCTCTCATGATCATGCTCCCCCACCTCCAACCCCAATCTGTAAGTTTAGCAAGTTCACCAAAATAATCCTACCTTCATGACCTAAGAAAGAAAGGGCCTCCAAGGAGACCTCTTGTCAATTCAGTTGAGTGCAAACAATCCTCCAAGACTCTGGATGCAGTTTATTCCTTTCTATTTGTCCATGTTTGCCTCCCTTGGAGACAAGGGCGAGTATGAGTCTCTATTAAGACTCCTAGCCCTTCAATATATTACACTGCTCTATCAGCGTTAGAAATCACCAGGCTGCTTGTAACCTGGAGCTTTTCCTCAGCACCAGAGGGGGACTTCTTAGGGCTAGAGTCGGGCCCGAGAACTTGCCTTTTCAATAATCTCAGCCTGTTCTCTGAAGCAGACTTTACAGAAAAGCACTTTAAGAAACACTGTAATTCTAGAAGTCAAGTGAGGGACAACAGTCCAAATTGCAAATAAAGTCACTCTTACTGTTCATGTCAGACTTAAGATATTAATCTATTTAAAATAATTAAATTCTAGGTGGGTCAAGACAGAGTTTAGTAGGAGTCCCACCTGGATGGGGCAAGACTGAAAATAATGGGTTTGGTTCCTTTCATTCTTTTTATTGTTCTCCCCTACCAGCTATGCCCTTCCTCCTCTAAAATGCAGCCAAGGCTTCTGTCTTCCACTAATTTCAATCTTCTGAAATCAGACAAAGTTGCTTCTACTCACTGTTGAAAAAGAAAGGGTCCCGCTAAGCCCTCCCAGGGTCTCAGTCTAAGGCAGTTACACCTAACAACCTACCTAGGATAAAATACACTAGTGAGATCAACCTGCTGCCTCATCTGCCCATGTTTTGCTTTTGAAGGGGATATGGGCAGCTATCAGCACTTTTGGATTTGATACCCTCAGACTATTTTAGACTAACTTTGAGACCACTCACAGAGAAATAAATTGATTTGGGAGGCAGCATCTGTTCAGCTTATCTGTTCTATAGCTTCAAAAGGTCCTCAGTTTTCGAACCTTCTATAGGAAACCAAGTAACTACTAGGATGCTTTGCAGTCAACTTCAGTATGAAGGTAAAAAAACAAAACAAAACAACTAGAAACCTATTGTGTGTTATATAAGTTTTATTGTTATGCAAAAATGTTATTTTGAAATATCAAAACCATAGGCTATGATAGAAATCCATATCCTCATGGGTATATTACTATTTTGTAGCGTGTATAAGACTTCTATTCTTAAATGCTCATCTGAGTCATTACTGAATTAGTTAAGCATAGATTTCCATGTCTATTACTTCTAAGTTACAGAGATTTAACCTTATACCAATTCTAAAATTAAAATTTCACCCTCACCCCCTGTGTCATGCTTTTCTTACCAAACCTAAGCTTAATAGGATCTTCTACTTACAGAAGTTAGGCAAAAGGATTTCCAAAAGGATCCCTATATACATCAGAAGATGTGGGTTGAGAAGCCATCTATGAAGATAAAACCATCCAGTCAATACGTATAATTACAGTTATGAAGAAAAAAAAATTCCATAATTAAGACTTCTCAAATTCCTTTAAAAATCACTTAGGTCACAGACAAATCAGATATTATATGGGCCTACAATGATTTGTGTTTGCCTGCTTATAATTTGTGATGCATATTTATTATTTACATCAAAATCAGGGCTCACATGAATAAGGTTTGCCTCTCCAAAATGAAAGGTACTGTTTTTATGAGCTAAACGATCGAAGGCAGGAAATCAGGAAACTAAATCCTTGAAAGATTTTTAAAGGTACTATTATTTTGGCTCAATTTTCTCCCAAAACACTTTTGTGAGCCAGGCAAAGTGAGATACAAAAGACTTTTCCTAGATGATATTCATTTCTCAAGCTCAGGATAGTAGCCCCTGCAAAAATAATCTCTCCCCAGTCTGAGTTGATGTTTTCATTGTGATGGTTCTCAATGATAAATCTTATTTAAACATCCTTTAGCACCAAATGCCACACAGAGCTATACAAACAAGATTCATTCAAGACACGGGTCTTCAGCTAGCTCTATGTGGCATGTACTTTGGAGCAACAGCTTCTAGTAGTTGATACTTACAGAGGCTTGTGATGAACTGAAAGAATCTTTAGAGAAAGGGTTCTCAAATGCGTTGTCTGCAGATTTGGTAACTGGCAGGGAACCTTGTCTGGGAGCTGGCTTTGGTGGTTCTAGAAGGCAAAAAACACCAAGAAGTCAGCAGACAAATTTTTCCCAAATATAGGCAAAAGTCCCACGATCAAGCTTATCTCAGAAATTCAGTTCCATACTTTTGGAATTTACATCATGGAACAAGAATCACCACCAAATACTAGGACTCTCAGTTATTACTACAGGCAAATTCATCAGACGAGGAGGCTGTACATATATACCTGAAGTGGAAGACATTCAGAATTCCCTTACTAAGGCAGTGGAGTGTGGTTGAGGCTCTGTTACATAGCCTTCCACATGCCACAACCCACTGAATGTCAATAGCTCTTGGCAGCCCTTTTAGCAATTGTCACAAGAGGGCAGCATTGGGCCAGCCCTTAGAAACAGCTAAGGTAAATCGTTTGCTCCATAAGGTAACCAGTCAAGTTGTCTCCATAACCACCGCTTACCAAAGAGAGCAAGAGTTAGGCCATTGGTGGGTGGGAGAGGGTTCTTCTAAGGACTCTGTGGGCCCATACGACAGGGGAAATACTCGTCGGTATGGTAGACAGAGAAGTGGGTAGCTTACCATTGATCTTTTTCAACAGTTGATTAGCATCAAAGTCATCATGGTCTGCATTCTCCTGAGGAATGCCAACTTTGCTGTTGAAATAACTGGAGAAGGCACTTGAAGTCCCAGAGGAAGTCTGTTCTCCCTTCCTTGCAGGCACAGCAGGTGGTTGCCGCAGTTGGAAGTCCTTAAACATTTCTTTCACTTCTTTGACTTCTTTATCCCCAAGTGGGTCCAAGGCAGTGAAGGCATCACTGGAGATGTCCTTCAGAGGGCCAGTTCTGGGAGGTGGTTGAGGAGGAGCGACCAGAAGAGAGGAGAGCATAGAAGGGGACTGGGTAGACACAGAAGCTGGAAAAATAGTGCTCTGGAAAGGGTTCCCTAAAGGGCTTGTTGAGGACCAAGTATTGGGTGCCACAGATGCTGATGGGCCCCAAACAACAGGGGCTGGAGGGGAAGTTGAGACTGCAAAGGATGAAGGCTGGTTCCAACCTGGAACAGCTGGGCTTGTGGTAAAAACTACTGGCTGACGGAATCCTGAAGGCTGACTACTCATCATGGCTCCTGGGACCACTGAAGTGGACTGATTGAAGACTAAAGATGCTGGGTTCCATGGTCCTGCCTGAGCGGGGCTAACTGGTATACCACCTGAAGGAAGCAGGAGAAAGGACTTATCAGGACACAAGCTTGAAGAGGATTCTTGAGTTTCGAAAAGCACAACTCTCAGTGGTGGGGAAGGGGGAGGGGGAGGGTATTTACCAAGCATGGACGTGGCACACACCTTCCTTAAGCCTTAAGGCTGATATGGAAAAAAGGCCCAGAGAGATTAAATCACTCTAAAGATTAACTAGCTAATACAGAATAGCTGGCATTCAAATGTTGGTTGCATTTTGAAAGCCTTTCTTTCTACCACAGATTTTTAAACTTTTCTCATTAGAAGGCTAATACACTCCATAAGGACCTAGTCATGAAAAAAATGAGTGCTTACCACACTGATACATTTCAAACAGCTAGGACAGAGCCTGTTGATCGCATGAATGCATTTGTTGAGTGAATGCATTTACATAAACAAACCATACTGATTACGAAGTAGTTAATTAAGATAATCCATTGGGTACTCTGATTCACTGATTTGATCTTTTCAGTTGGCAGCTGGCTCCTGTCTGGTGTCTTATGGAAACCAGCTATTACGCATGTATATGAGGCCTCAGCATGCTTGCATCCCGAAGAAACCATTTCAGTTTCCTCGCTTTTAAATGCTGCCAAGGTTGACACAGCTATATAAGAGGATGATAAAATTTGGTTGATGCCAAGATAGTTTCAGACTTTTATACATGTGAATGGAGGAAAGCCTGGTTATCCTGGGAGAGCTTGTTTCAAATAAAAGTGCTTCCTGCCATGTGTCACTCACCAAACCTTGCCATGAGTCAGAGCACAATATTTAAAAGAGGAAGGGAGGGAGAGAAGACAGCATGAAGCAAACCCCGCCCCCCAAAACAAACAAACGGAACGAACAAAAACAACAAAACCTTCCGAGGTAGCTAACTGCCTGTGTCTGGGCATCTGATCTCTGTAGAGGAATGGCTCCATCACCTGTATCTTTGTCATGTTGATTAAGAATTGATGAAATTACTAAAATACATGTCTCTCCAGTGTTTTTCCCTCTCTTCTTGAGAAGCTCATTCCCTACATCTTGTTCTCATACATAGGACATTTTCTCTCCTGCCTCTTCCCAAATATATTAATGACCCCGTCAAACTGCCCCCACAAACAAAAAACCTAAATTCAGCCTCATATGTATTCATGAATGATGTTCTGCTCTCAAAATCTGCTTGCCTTGAGCTTTAGAATAAAAGCATTCTTTAGCTATGAAAGTTTTCTAGCTGAACTAAGAAAAGGCCTCCAAACTTCTAACTTGCGTTAGGAATGTTTTTGTTTCCAGTGTGAGAAATATTTTGAAAGTGATGTTCAGGGGCTGATGTAGCAAGATATTCTATCTTAAATTTTCTTAGTCTTGGAGATTGATGTTACTTGACTCAACTGTATCCTCATGAAGGCTAACCATCTAGCCATGAAGATGCATGGTGTGCCAGAGACAGTGGTAGGTTTCAGAAAAGGTCATCTTACTAAATTAACATGCTTGTTTTGGAGGTTAGGGAACTGGGTACAAGAATATTAATTATTAAAATTGGGAAGTTCACAGTCTGTGACAATAGAGACTAAAACTCAGGCATACCAGCTCCAAATCCAGTGCCCTATTCTCCTGTTCTGCCTCCTTGGCATCAAGGGATAGGACTATTTTTTTTAATGGAAATTAATTCACATACTTATTTTGTAGTTACAGAAATTAGACTTGATTTACACTAAAGAGCATACATACTCTTTTCACAACTAATGGGTTTGAGTGAAGTGATTGCAGCACTTTAAAACAAATTTATTTAAATTTTGTTAACCAAAGCCAAAGTCACTCACTGATAATTTATGCCAACTGGATGTGCAAATTGGGTAGAATCTTTTTTTTTTTTTAATTTTTTTTATTCTTATGTTAATCCCCTACATTACATCATTAGTTTTAGATGTAGTGTTCCATGATTCGTTGTTTGTGCATAACACCCAGTGCTCCATGCAGAATGTGCCCTCCTCAATACCCACCACCAGGCTAACCCATCCTCCCACCCCCCTCCCCTCTAGAACCCTCAGTTTGTTTTTCAGAGTGCAAATTGGGTAGAATCTTATCATTTTTCATGTTGGATGACTTGCCTTCCCTTAGGAAAATGTATGGCTTTAGTCATAGATGGTATTAGAGGGAGTGGTGGTAGTTAAAGAAAAAATATTCTATCTGCCAGGAATTAAAGGCTTTCTCAGTATATGCTTATGCCAGCCTTCATTCCCATCTGATGGATTTCATGCATTGCATTTCCAAGATAGTTCAGGCTCTGCTGGAGAAAGTGGAGGCAAGGGGTAAGGAAAAAGAAAGTGTGGGTGTAAGAAGTTAATTTTATCACCTTCTGATGCTAGATTAAAACACAGGGAAGCCAGTCGAAGCTGAAGGCTCAGCTTTCTACAATACCTCTCCCCACCCCCAGTTCTCCAGAAGAGACAGTCCCCCAGCTGGGTCTAGCGGAAGCCAGACCTACAACCTTCCATGGTTTGGCTGAGGATCCCTGCTAGTGGACAGGGACTATACTGTAGAGCTCAGTTTGAGTCCCATATCCAAACTTGGAAGGATCATCAGTATTCTGCAGTTGTATACCCCAAGGCCTCAACAGGGGCACCTAGCCAAAAAGCTTCACTTCGTCTGAATAAATTAACAGTTATAGGGTCCAGCTGTATTTTCGAGCTGACTTGTTAAATATTGGCTGTAAAAATTCTTTGGGGCAATGATATTAGACTGTCAAGCTCTGGGATGTGATCTAGTCACAAGCAGTGCATGCAAGCTCTCAAGCCTTCTGCAAGGAAAAGCACCCACCAGCTCCACTTAAGGGGGCAGGAAAAGGAGCGATGCACCAAAGGGGAAGCCCGCCAGGGACACGAAGTGTTCAGGGAGAGTCTTGGCGGTGTAAATGCAAGCAGAGACCTGGAACAAGTTGGCTTCCCACACCCACATTGATTTCAGCCACTCAGCGGTTGGGTGACAAGCCCCTCTTGCCACCATACTCCAGATATGATTAAACAGATTTAATATGCCAAAATGAAAATGCTTTCCTTTGGAGGAAAGCATCGGGGGAAACAAAAAATAGGGTCCTGATGACTGACTCCACAGGAGGCAGAGAAAACCAAGAGCCCTGGTCAAACTTTACAAAACGGGGAAGAGAGTCCCTCTTCATCCATAACTCCCCCCAACTGCCTCCCAAGACAGAGTCTGTTGGGAACTTGTAGAGGTACCAAGAAGCAGAAAAATAAAGAGAGTCCCCAGCAGGACAGCAAAGACTTTTGTCGGGGTTGCTGAAGACTGTCCCGTGGAGGCAGAAAGGAACTGGAGGCTGTGGGCAAACAATAACAGGGCTAGTCCTCAGCCAAGTGGCCTTCCGCAGTGTCCTGCTAGAGAGAGGCTCGGTGGCTCATGTGAGCTCGACACATTTATGAATGAGCACTGGCACATCCTGGGCATCTGGTAAAATCCCATCTCTTCCCTTTTCTCTGTGTTCTTTTCGACTTCAGGTTTCTAGCATTTGTTTTCTAACTCTATTAAGACACTCAGATACCCAAAATATTGGCAGGGAGCAGCTAAGGCTTAAGTATTCAGAGACCGATCGGGATATATGCCTGTCTCATACCCATCATATGCCTAGGAACAGAGCTGGGCTGAGAACCTAAGACTTGCATTGTATGACTTACACTTGCTTTGGACTTAACTTATATCCCTCTCGGGGATAGGACAGGATACCCTATCCAAGAAGCAAATCAGTTTACTAGGAGATAGGGCTTCGTCTAGTAATGGCACATTACGTGGCAGGCGTGCATGTCATCAGTTTTTCCAATACAGATGATAGACAAGACTCTCTCAGCTCTACCTCATTTCTCCAATGAATCTAGTCTGAGCATCAGAATCCCTTACAGTTGTCTTCCGTAAGCCATTGCCAGTTGGCTTGGGTAAGCGCAATATTGAAAATGGTTTTCTTTGGTGTCTGGGTGGCTCAGTTGGTTAAGCGACTGCCTTCGGCTCAGGTCGTGATCCTGGAGTCCCAGGATAGAGGCCCACATCGGGCTCCCTGCTGAGCAGGGAGTCTGCTTTTCCCTCTGACCCTCCCCTTCTCATGCTCTCTCTCTCTCTCTCTCAAATAAATAAATAAAATCTTTTTAAAAAATTGAAAAAAAAAAAAGAAAACGGTTTTCTTTCCACATGCCAACTTCAGGAGCCAAATTTCAGTTGCAAGTCAAGAGTACCAAATGAGGGTGGGGGTCTATGGAAGTAAAAGTGGGAGAAAGGTTCCCTGGGATGCTCAGATCTTATGTCCCTGGAACCTCTATGGATATGAAGTGCCTTCCTCCTGTGCATTATAATCTTATGAGTGAAAGCAACAGAGGCAAATCTAACTCAATCTCTAAGCACCTACCTAGACCCGCAAGGGGTCCCACTGGGGCAGAAGCATTTGTTTTGAAGAGATCCAGAGGGTTGGTCTGTAGGGTTGCAGATTGTCCTGTAGGTGATGTCTGGCCTGGAGGTTCTGAGGCGGGAGGGGTAAAGATGTCTGATGCAAGCAAGTCTTTTGCTGGAGACTAACAGGGCAGAGAGGGAGATACAAGAGTTACTCAGTAATAGTGAAAAACAGCTTTATTCTGTCTCCTATTCTGTACCTCAAATTTGGGAACCACAAAAAGAAAAACTTATTCCTCTTACTGGTAAACTACAAAAAGCCAAAGCTTCCCCCCCCCCCCCCCCCCGCGCCAAAAAAAAGACAGATCCCTGCAATGGACAGAATATTTGGTCTTGGTAACTGATGTAAAGAGGACTCTCAAGGTGAAATCTATTTTACTCATTTACACATTTGTATCCATCAGGTCTCCTTGTCAGCTAAAAGCTTGAAGCTGGGAAAGAAAGGACAACTATAAATAAATAACCTACATATTTTTGATTATTCTACTGGGTTTAAATCAGTCTGCCTAAAGGTGATATTATAGTCTAATTATTAGGCCAGCCTGCATATTCTAATGAGATTTTTAAAAAGATATTTACAGAAACCACATTTTAAATTGCTTTTGAATGAAGTGGTACTAGTAAATATTTAAGTGTCTTTTAAAGCAATGGATCATTCAGCCAGCATTGAATAGAAGAGGCAAACTCAAGAATTTTCCACCACCACCTTGGACATTAATGCAATAGGAGGAGTGTGGGGGGCATGTGTTAGTGTGGGGAAGGTACACAAGGCATCACAAAGAACCCTTGCCCTCCCCTTCCAGAACATGACGATCGAACTTACCAGAGGTACAGAAGCATAGCAGCATTAAAAATGGAAAAACTGGTGTTTAGTTAATAATAAGTGACAAGACATGCAAACGGAAAGCAGGGTGTGAAAACACTGCTGAGTGAGAAGCTTAGAAAGGGCGGCCATCAGAGGAAGGTATTCCTGGAGAAAGATGTGCCTTATCCCACCTTCTATTTCACAGCCACACAGGAAGCTACAAGAGCAGCAGGAAAGAGAGCTTGCATCACACCACCCTTTGGTACCGAACATGCATTCTGCCAATGGATATGTGGAGAAGACAATTCACCTTAGCAGTCCTTCTGCCTCTTCCTGGTTTGGTACTTTGTGGAGGTGGGATAATGGCTATGGAGTCATGTGGTGAGGACTGGACAGAGCTTTCCAAGTCCTGCTTTACGCCATTCGGTACGGACAGTCCTTTGGGAGGGCTTCCCACAAAAGGGTTCGGGGAGGATTTGATATGGAAGCCGTTCTGTTCTCTTTCAGATACCCCATTTTGAGTTCTCACTGTTGGCTGTGTTTGCGTACTTGAAAAGGGCCATGGGCCTGCCTGAGCTTCCTGTTTGCCAGTCCGGTTAGAGATTTGGTCAAACTGCTGACCAAAGTAATCAACATCCCCATTCAGGGGCCCATTACTCAATGGAGTAGGCAAGCTACTCAAATTCTCTTTCTTCTGATCTGAAGATTTGAGAGAATCAAACGAAGAGGGTGTCGATTGATCTGGCTGTGCAAAAGGATCATCACGGAAAGGATCAGGATTAGGGGTGGGAAAGAAGTTGAGATTGGCAGAAAAGGCATTTTCAGGCAAGAAAGATGCCTGAGGCTTTGGTCGTGGAAGAGAACAGGAGGTAATGCCATTTGTTAAGAATGGATTTTCTCTTAAAGAATTCTGATTGGTGTCGATTTCAGAGTTTAGATCCACTAACAGGATATCTTTGCTTTCCTATCACATTTGGGAAGAAAAAAAAAAGAGAGAAAAGAAAGTGTTAGTCCATGTCTTCGTGACTTCAAATGAGAAAGCTACATAAGATGATCAGGATCATCAAAATTCCCATTAAGGTTTGGTCTTGACAGATCGGTTGACCATTACCTCCTCCCATCGCCTCCCTGAGTGCATTTCTTTACTACAGTTGAATAGGTCCTCCCTGTCCCTCCCCACCCTGTTGCCCCTTTATTTAGTTCTCAACTTTGTTGGCCCTTCATTAAAATGAAACTGTACTGTCTGCTCTAGTCATGTGTCTGCTCACCCTTGTAGACTGGCTGCATTCACGATCCTCCTTGTTCCCATTCCTGCCTCTGCAAGTCCTCAAGGGAATCGACTGTGAGTCACTCTAAGCAATTATCTAAGCATATTGAGCGTGAATGTAAGAAAAGATCTCTGAAGCCTAACTCAGCCTCCCACCTGAGGCACAGTCCCATCCGTTGTACCCTCAGAGTCATGTAACAGCATCTCTCTAAATGAGCGAATTCATTGGCTAATATTTTATAGTTCTGGCTGAGACAAAGTTTAAGGTCAAATATATTTCCCTATAATTGGTCTTTCCTCTAAGAGGCAAAAACAGATTTTCCCACCACATCACACAGCCTGTCAGGTATGCCCCTTTAAATATTTAAGGATCTTTTTGAAGGTGCTAGTCAAGTTGGATCTCTCATCCTAGTCTCTGGACACATCCTTTTGTCTGTGTCCTTCTAGAAAGAACAAAGTGATACTCAAAATCCTGATACATTCTAACATCATATTAACCTCTCGTATTTGTGCATTTTTTCATAATACAGCTTAGAGTTGCCTGCGTCGTGACAGTAATCTCATCTATTTGGTGGATAAATTCAAGTAATCTTTAATTTATCTTTAATTTATGTACAATGTAATCTTTAATTCATGTATGAAGTAGAGATGTGGGTTTAGAATTAATTTGAAAAACATACCAAATACTTAACTCTACAAAGTCTAGTCCCTCCCTATCTTAATTACTTGCATTCTCCATTGTTAGATAAGATACCCTCTCAACAGAAAATCAGCAAATTTGAAAAATCTGACATGTCTTTATTCAGTTCAGTGACATAACTAATTTGGGCTCACCTTGGGATAGGGCTGTCAAAAACTGACATACCTTCCTTCTCACTGACTTTGGTCCATTAACTACTCATCTATGCTAGCCACAGAAGAATATAAACAATCAACAATGTCTAGCTGAGATGGAAGTTAGAGGTCTAGCATTACCCCGAGCACCTTACTAAATATTTTTGATCACTGGGACAAAAACAACCTCAAGGGAATATGAAATTCTCAAACTAGTAAGTAAAAAGGGGGGCTGAATAGGCCTCCTTGGCTTTAAATGAACAAATTTTTTGAAAGTTTAGGTCTTAATTGGTCTTCTATCTTTGGCTTCCTTTACTGTTAGGTATAAAAACACAATTTTTAAAAGCCAGTTTTTCTTTTTATAACCAGAAGAATTTGTCAGAAGAAAGAGCTTATAATTAAAAAAAATTTTTTTAAATCAAAGAGATGGATTGGAAGATCTCTTAATGTAGGGATCTTTAACAATCAAAAGATAGGACAAAATGTATTACAAAAGCTTGTGATTTCAATATTTATTCATTTATGATGAGCCACCTCTGGGTTAGAACGGTTGGGTGTTCACAGCTGGTAGAGTTCTCCTTTTCAAATACTTCAGAAGAAGTTCTTAGGACACCAAACTGGAGCCACAATGTTAGACTTCTGAATAGTCACCCTATAAGTAAAATGTATAAGGCTCTCCTCAGGTTGGGTTTGTTGTTAATCCAGGATTAAGAGTCTAGTTCAGACTACAGTGGGATGATGTGAGACTCCTCATCTTCCCCCTAGGTCAGAACTTCATTAATTCTTTGTTGGATCATCAAACACTGCATCCACTCGGCCATCATCTGACCACCTGAGAGATAAGCACTGATAAATGAAGGTGAAATGCAGTCCTGGCTCGTAAGGAGCTCCAGGAGGAGAAGGAAGCAGGCAGCCACAGAGGTGTCTGCACGAAGGTGAGCTCTTATATACTGAGTTCCACAGCCTAGCTTTCTCCAGGAAGCTGATCTCTCCCAACCATTTCAGCCTGCTGAATCCCTGAACTTCCCAGCTCAAAGCTTTCAGGGGCTTCCCGCTATCCCCTATGTTAAAATAAGCCTCATTAGCCAGCCTTTCAAAATGACCTACAATAGGACCCAGTTTATTTTTAGCCTAACTGCTCCCTATGTTCCTACACACTTCAAAGACCCAACTCAAGTTCAGATTCTTTACAAAGCCTTTTCCCATGGATCTTCCTACTTCAGCATCACCTGTGCCCACCCATGGCCTCTTATATATGCATGAGACTGTGCTTTGGGCCCTGATCCCATCCCTGTACCAGACTTAACCTCCTTCATACCTTATGTTCTTCTCATAATAACTGTGCTTTCAAATGGTCATTTTTAAAGTCTGAGAACATGTCTTTTGGGTTTTTTCTTTCCTTCTTTTTTCTTTTGAGGGGCAGCATGGAAGAATATTATTCAGTTATTTTCCAATAAAAATTATGTTCTAAGGGATGCCACTTAGTTTGTAACATGAGTTTTATTTGAAATGCATAAAACTGTTCTGTATGAAGGCTGGGGGAGGGACAGATGGGTCAGGGAACCAGTAATAAAGTCCAGGTAATTTAGATTTCTTTTTCTCTTCATCTCTTCCAGAGCAACCGTTCTAAGATTGTGAATATTTTTAAACATTCTGGTTTTACCAAGTAGAAATAAATTTGTTTTGTGACCTATGAATATGGAGTCAATATGCAAGAACACGTGGGCAAAGTCCAACCAGCACATAATTAGTGCCATTAGCATTCTCTTACTTATCAGATATCATCTACTTTGATGGTATTTATTACCTTAATTTACTGTTAGTTTAAAACGCACTTTTATTTCTATAAACCAAAAATTCTTAGAATGTATTAAGTCTAATATAACTAAGACTCAGGATTACTCATATTGTTTTCATTTCCTCTTTCAGAACTTTCTAGAAGTCTACAGAAGCAGATTAAACAGTCAGTGCTTCCTTGCCTATCCCACTGGAATTCTATTTCACAGCTTGAGTGCTTTGATCTCTTTCAATATCCATGTTTGAATGTCAGTTACACTTGGAAAGTAGATCATTCAGATATCAATTCACTTTGGGAAGGGGGTTACTGTGGAGGAGGGGACAAAGTTGTCTAGGAATCAAAAGGACCTCAGGGCTGGGATAGACATTTCAGGATCATCTAATGTTGTCTCTTAACAAGTGTATCCTTAGGATGGTAACAAACATTACGAAGAATAAAAGGTTCCACAGACAAGTGAGTCAGGGCTCACTGCTGAAAAGAACATTAAACAGGCTTCTTCTCTATCGTAGGCTTTTTAGGGCCTCTGAAATTCTGTTATGCATCGTGAATCTCATAGGGTTGGGGACAAAGAAGAGAGTATGCAGCCCCTGCCGCTTCCCATCTCATGGGCCTGGGCATCTTATGTGAAAGTTCATGGACGGCCATTCTCTGCAATACTCTGGCAGGTGAGACTTAACCTGTCCTTTATCTGCTGCTGCTTTAAGTCCTATGACCTTCTTGGTCATGTAGACTTGCTTGATAATTCCCTGATATAAGAGACTCCTAGACAGACATTCCCACTCATTATTCTAGACTGATGGCTCTTTTTGTCTGGTTATTGCCTTCTCATCTTTTATGGTCAAGTCCAGAAACTCATTTACTTTGAGGCATTACATGAACCTCTAAACTAGACAAATACCATGTAATTAGCATCAATTAATAGGCTTTGTGATTAGTTTTAATGCTGGTCTCCCTGCTTGAAAGTAAACTCCATGATGTCATTGACACTGTACCTCTCACTCACTTCTGTGCCCTATGAATGGCAGGTACTCAAGAAACTGTTTAAAAAATAATAGTTAAAAGAAGTCATTCAAAATTACATGGGTAGTTTAACTAGAGGCCTGTTTTGGAAGGTCTGAGATGTGTGCTTAAGCTCTTTCTCGGGTGAATGAGTTTTTTTTTTTTTTTCTGAATCACCGCATCCTTACCTATAAAGGAAAATATTGCTCCATTCTCACAGAGTTGTTACGGATCAATCAGTATTTAGAAAACTTGATACGCTATAGTGTCCTTCAAAGAATGAACAACTTTTTTAAACAAGGATGGTCCTTGGTTAAACATAACTGAGCATCTTATTTGTTTTAAGTCTTACTTCACACCAAGCTTATGCTATTAAGTCACAATAGAAAAAATAGAAAAATACTGAAGAGGCTAGGTGGTTTTACAATTAATCATCTCGCAAACACTTCCTTCCGGTGGGACTTATGCCAAGGGTTATTATTCAGGCCCTTTTCTGATCCTAAGTAATATCAAGAAGGATTGCACCGCCTGTCCTCTGCTCAGATCTAACCACCAAGCAAAATTAATGTATCTGAATTGGTGTTGATAGGTTCCCATGGTAAGTTAAGATGCAAATTTATTCTAGTAGCCAGTTATACTTTATGTGGAAAAATCTGCAGTTACCTTCCAAGTTTCAACGAGATGCTCAAGATTTCTGGTTAATTGCCAATTTGAGTTATAGATGTCATTTTCATTACATTGCAAATTTAAAAACAGGCACTTACTGTTGGACTATTTAGGTCAGGAGGTGTAGACATGTCCCCAAACAAATCCATCTGGTCAACACCCTTAAAAAAGTATTTGGATTAGATTCAGATGTGTCTATTAAAAAGTATTACTTTGTATATTGTTGTAATTGTTTCCTAAACTAAGGTTTAGGAATATTGTCACAACTGATTTTCATTTAACTAATACAGATTTACTATTAGGCTATTTAGGCCTGGAAGCGTAGACATGTCCCCAAACAAATCCATCTAGTCCACACTCTCAAAAAATTTTTGTAGATTAGAGTCAGGGTGTGTTTACTAAAAAGATTACTTTCTACCTTGACATAAATGTTATATTAATGTTTAGGGCAATAGTTGTCATAACTGGACTTCCATACAGATTCAATGCAGATTTGGTATTAGCAACATCTATAGGAAGTAAACCCATGTTCAGTTAAATAAGAATTATAAAAAATCACATACATACCAATTTCAGTTTGTTAGCTTGGTCATCAAGGGTCAGTAGGGTCTCATTCCCATTCTGAAAAGACGGCAAATATTTAAGGGTTTAGCTGGTGAGTTTTCTTATAGAATGTAATTTCCTAGTGTATTGGCTTGCTAAGCAGTTATGATTTTGGTACTGATAATTAAACCATACATCTTCTATGGCCAGAGAGATCATGAACACATAATCATAAGCTAGGAGGGGAGCATGCCTGGACAGGTAGCAAACAAGGACTTCTACACATCACGTGTGCAATTCATAAGAAGTAAAGGTGCAGTTTTACCTCTACTGCTTTGTTGGCTTCTTCCATCTAAAAAGAAAGACACAAATTCAGTGATCTTAACAACTACAGTTAAAAGGGAATTAAATATCTGTATATCTATATATCTCTCTATATACCTATGGGTTCATGAGCACAAGGCAAGAGAGAGTCTTGCATATTATTTCTGCCCTACATTCCCCTGCCCTTTTCATATCAATACTAGATTTGAATACAGTTTCTGAACTTAAACTTGCTCATCCTTTGGAACCAATGTGAAGCTTGTGGGGAGAGAAGACAAGAGTCAGGGACTGAAAATCCGATGCATCTAACTGTAACATCCATCCATTGCTCTACTGAGAAGAAGAGACGATATATTTCTAAAATTTCTATACTTGAAAGAGCCACAAAGAAGCCAACTCTCCAGACAGGCCATATGTTTATATAATGTTCAAACATGGTCCTGAATATAGTCTTAAGTTTAATAGAGTCAATATTGGGTGGTACTTGCCTTTTTCTTTTCTTCTTCCTTTTTCTTTACATTATAGATAACTTGAAAGAGGTCTTTAAGATCAATGACTAATGGCTCAGCCTGAAGGAAGAAAAAGCATCTTTATGAGTATTTTAATATTACTGTTTTCTTCTTTTTGTCCCCCATCAGTTCTGATTAGTACTGTTTTCCTCCTTTCTCTTAAAGCTCTTTACTATCCTCCCCTGGTTTATGGGGGATCACCCCCCACCACCACCAGATACATAAAGGGCAACAGAGTAAATAAGTATTTAACAAAACAAGAAGGACCATGATAATTTTCCAAGTCCCTTCAGGATTTGGGGGAATAATTCACTATTGTTCTAAAATAACATTGACCTAAGTCCCCCTCCAGGTATACCTCAAGGCTTGAAGCATACCTGTTGCCCTGTTTTTATGGCAAAAAACTGATGCTGGCCTTCTCCTCCACACACATAGCCAAATGCCCGGTTGTCTGTCACATCACGGGCAATGAAAGAAATCTTATTTACTGGATGTTCATGCTCTATTACCTGAAAAAGAAACATAAAAAAATGACTTATTGATAAAACCTAGAATCTGTGTGGTAGCACAAGGAAACCTCAGATACCTAGGCATATATGAAAAGGCCAAAACATTTGAAGGAAGAAATTACTGCCTCTGGTTTAGAGCTACATTTATCCTTGCTAGTAAGGGCCCCAAAAGGAACAAAGAGTAGAAAACAGAAGTGCGAAAAATACTTGTTAGAATATTGATACTTGATTGTCTTCATCCCAAAGATGTGATACCACATAGCAAGAAAGGATTGAGGATCAGGAGACCAAGAATTTCTAAAGCTAAGATGGGGTATTACACTGCTAAACCATCCAAGTGGGTCGACTTTCCCAACTAAAAGTCAGACTCAGGTGAAAAGCATAACTAAGCTAGAACAGTGTTCACGGGGATCCTTTGACAATGGCTCTGAGTGGTCAGAAAACCATCCTAAGTACTATTGGAACAATTATCCACAGAACATTCTGGAAGTTACCAAATGCTGGCATCCAGTATTTCCCATGTTCACACCACTATTGAGGAGTTACATGGGGCAGGGATTTCAGTAGTGCCTTCTCCTCTCTTCCCCCTCTCCCCTTTCTCTTGATCCTTTCAAGCACATGGCAGGGCTCAACTCTTTAGGGATATTTGTAGGTGGTCATAATGTGTCTTGGTTTTTGTTTCCAAATGCCTAATGCCACTGGAAAGTTTATATTGGGTATCTTTGAAGATTTGGGGAACAAGAGAACGCTTTAAGGAAACTTGCCACCATTCTCTGATAGGCTTGGGAAAATAAGACTTGAGAGATGAGGGAAAATGGAAACAGCAGTGGATGAGGACCAGCAGGGTGAATGAGCAGGTGCCAGGGTTCCAGGGCTCTCTATGTGACCACTGGATTTTGCGTAATAGATAATGGCCATCTCTAGGAAAGCATGGATAATAACTGGAGGTCTCCCCACAGTACCTCGAGACAACAGAGTATTTGACAGCAGTGAAAATGAGCTACAAACAACATCTTAAGTAAATGAATCTTACAATGTTGAGTAGAGAAAATAAAGTTCCAGGAACCTGAAGTATGATCTGATCGTCTTTTGATAAGGTTACAAAAAAATAAACAAAATAAGTAAGACTGTTCCTATGCAGAATAACAGCAACCATAAAAAATGAGCAAGGTTATATCTGTAGGGTGAAGAGGAAGGGAAAAGAGAGAAGAAAGAAAAGATAGACGTGTCAAAGGTAATATTCTAGCTTCAGGTTAGCCAGTAAGTTTGCATGTAGCTAATCTATTAATGAGATCCAGGCATAGATCTATGGCAGCATCAGAAACCAGGGGTTAGGGTTAATCTTGTTCTGTTTACCTGGAGTCCAAAAAAATACTGAAGTGGTATTTATAGCACATCTCTGTTTATAGACTGGAGGTTCACATCCATTACAGAAAATAAATTTCAATAAAGTATCTTGACTCCTCACCTCCTACCCTATCTGTTTTCATGCCTATTACTTCTGGAGAAGTAATATATACTATTTTTTTCCTATAGACTTTTGAAAAGGAAAACAGGAGCTGAGATTTATGTCAAATTGTTTGTTAGACTCAGGTGGTCAGAAAGGTGTCAGTGAAAGTGAATTCTTACCCCAGTTTTCTCATCAATTATTTTTATCCCAGAAAGGGAAATGTTGACCCAGATCCTTTGTTTGTGTTGTCCCTGAGACCGACCAGCTGCCGCCATTCCCTGATGAGATTGGGAAAACAAGAAAAATCCAGTTAAAATTATCCTATGATGCTTTTGATACTAAAACATTTAAAAGATAGCTTTATTTTCAGCTTGGTTTACCATCTACGAAAGGATTAGGCAGGCACCTTTCATAATAGATGGCAGAATGAAATAGAAGACATCGAGCCAGGACATCATGAATTAGCTGTGTGAACTTGGACAAGTCATTCTAATTCTGTTGGTGTCAGAATAGTCCTTGGTAGAGACAAGACTGGTTAAGATCTTCAAAGATGTTCCTTCTAGATCTGGTCTTACTTAACAATTTTTATTTATTTAATTAGTTTCACATAGTGACAGTACTAGAGTTTAAAAATTTTTAAAAAGCCCAAAGGGCTAACACGAAAGAGCTACAGGTTCCAAATAGAGACCTGAATTTTACCTGAATACTTCCAGGATCTAAAACTCGATGTGCCCAAAAGAAAAGGCATCTACGGTCCTGCACTACATGATTAAGCCCAGTCTCTAGAACAGCATTCACAATGTGCAAACAAACTCAAGACTCAGAAAATGAGGTATCGCTGGATCAATTACGTGATTAGAAAAGTTTTTCTTTCAAATAATGGAGATAAAGGTAAACATAAGCTTCTAATATAATTCCCGCTGTTGGATATTTGCTTGAGATAGAGACAAAGCATGCTTTCCCTTCTGACCTTTAGTTTCATCATAGAATCTTGGCTCATTTTATCCCCTCTTGCGTCGGGCACATCATCAATGCCAATTAGCTTGGCCTTGTATTTTACACCATCACCTTTGAATCTGGCCAAAAGATACTCATCTGTCTTTTCAGAGCCTGAGGGGGAAAAAAAAAGAAAAATAGGATAAAATTTATAAATGTCTTTAAATATCATCCCCAGGTATGACCAAATACGTTCCAGAATCTCCAAATCTGAGTAGTATACATATTGGTTATATTACAGTTGCTCAAATATGCAATATTCTATCTTTATTCTTACTTCCTCTGAGTAAAATTGTATTCTGTAATACTGTATATGGTGTTGGGGTGGAGAGAAAATGAACTCTTAAAGGTGCAAAATGGACTGAATTATGGGAAACTTATGGGCCTGTGTGAGGTGGGATTTGGGGATATTCTTCACCATAATTTAAAAAATATTTTTAAGAGAAAATAAGGAGGATAGTGCTTTTTTTGATGAAAGAAAAATAAACTACTACACTCTTTACTAACATTTTAAACTGCCAATAAGGCAGAAGAAAATTATGAATAAATTCCTTTGAAAATCATTAAGATACTTATCTCATCTTTATAATCTCTTTTGCTTTCCTTAAAAAGACTGCAGTCATCTCCTTCCATAGCTAAAGTAGAATAGTAAAAGGCAGGCAAGCCACGGCATAGTCTCCAACTATGAATGATTAAGGACTCTGCCACTTTCTAGTGGTACTTCAGGTCAGGAGAACAAGGTCTAGTAAAATAAAGAGGTCAGTTTTTGAAAAACAGCTACTTCAGTAAAGCAAAGTGGTAAACAGGTTTACTGAAAGATAATCATCTAATAATTGAGAGTGGTGTTTATCAACTAAACAAGCTACCGTGAACGCTTCCCAGTGGGATCCAGTTGGTGCAATCACAGGATTCAGAGACATGTCTTATTATAAGTGGAGCAAGCTAATCTCTACCAAAGTCCAACTTCCCTGTTGAGGAGAACTTGAGAGTTGGCTGAGGCTGAAGTGAGGCAAGGGCCAGCTCTTACTTCGTTCACCTCAAACCTCACATTTCTTCACAGGTAAGCAACACTCGCTCCCCTCAGTGGCCTCCAGAGGATGTCTCCATACCTTTCTTTTTTTCCTTCTTTGATGGTGCTTTCGGTGCAGCCTGTGGGTCAGGCTGCCCGTTAGTTGTGCTTGTCTCTACTTCGTTAGACATGACAAGAAGGCAGACAGCGAACTCCAGCACCAGCAGACACGGAGTGACACCAGGCGATCCCCGAGGTCTCAAATGAACATAACCTACGACAGACACCTGTGGGCAGAGTTTAGAGGCATCATGAGATCGTAACACAGCAGACCCAGACGGTATGCTACTAGGCTTGCGACTCGTGATTTGCAGACTAATTTTGTTATTTCTCCCCTATTGGACTGAACTCTGAAGAGGAGCGGGTAGGACTGTTTCCTCTGTAGTTTCCAAAAGGGAAAGAGGGTGTTTATGAGGTTTTTCTTTAAGAATTGGTATCTGGTAACATTTAATGATTACCTACCTAAGTAGTTTGTATTGGAATTGTGGTGTAAAAATCTAGTGTTAAAGGTAGGGATCAAAACATGTCACGGATACAAAAATAAGACTTCCTAGCAAAATACAAATACATTGGATGCTGAGTCTGAGATGATCGTGATTGGCATCTGAAACTGGACATTATAAATTCTGCTTCAAAAACTCATTTAATTGTAAAGGCAATGTCAAGAATAGAGTTAAAAATTTTATCTTATTCCCATTGACAAATATATATTTTTGACATGTTGTGATTCTGCATATGATTTCCAGGGCTATCTAAGCCCTATACAGGACAACGATTTTTGACATTAACATTTACAGGTATCATAACTCATAAATGAGTTTATGGGATGTCTGTGGTGCAATTCATTGAGTGGAAATACTTTTAGGCTATTATTGAGTATTATTCTCCTCAAGGCAGTGGTGCCATGTGTTCTCATAAGACTCCCTTATGTATCATGGCAGGTAAAAAGGGAAAAACTTAGAGTCACTGTAAGCACACAGAAGTGAACTAATGTTTCAAAAATGTTCTTTCACCTCCCAGGAGTCAAAGTTTCTACACAGCTTCTGAGAGAGCGTTAACTGTCTACATGGACTGAAGACCAGAGGGAAGCAGGCATTCATAGTTTTATAAACCTGTTAAGACCACCCATGGACTGGCATACTCCTTCCACCCCAAAAAACTCTCTTAATTCTCTTTTTAAAGCACCCATTTATTTGAACTTTTTATTTTTTTAAGATTTTATTTATTTATTTAAGAGAGAGAGAGAGAGCACAAGGGTGGTGGGGGGGCAGAGGGAGAGGGACAAGCAGACTCCCCACTGAGCAGGGAGCCCGATATGGGGCTTGATCCTAGGACCCTGAGATCATGACCTGAGCTGAAGGCAGATGCTTAATCGACTGAGCCACCCAGGCTCCCTATTTGAGCTTTTTAAATCCAAGGATCAAGTCTGCCACATGGAAATGTATGTTATTATCTAGATATGTAAAGTGTAAAAAGTAAGTCTTAACATTTTTTGCTTCTGTCAGCTTACATTGCACCTTCCTGGCTTCGTAAATGTCAACATGCTTTCCTCAAGTTGCATACTTTATATCTCCCCCCGTGAGTCTTTAAATGGTCTTTATAGTCTTAATAGTCTTGAAAAACACATATATACAGAAATCTATGTATGACTAATATTATTTGAATTATTTAATTTGGAGATTTAGTAGTTAATTGTGCTCAAAGACACCTGACTGGTAGACAGCCAGGGAGACAGTCTCTTTACAGATGAAAGTCTTATGCAGCAGAGGACTCAAAGCCCTATTTACTCAAGATTTAGTTGGGTGCCAGGTGCTAGTAGCCTTTTATGTGTTTTAACTACAAAAAATTCAGAGTAACCCCACGAGTATTATGATATAGTATTATTTCAGTTTTTCAGAGGGAAAGCCAAGGCACAGGGGTTTTAAATTATACAGCTGCTAAGTGGTAAAACCTGGTCTAACCCAGGCTGTCTGGCCCCAAGCCAGAGTTTCTCACATGTTACACTGATGGATCTCCTCTGAGAAACCTCATGCTAGCTACAGAGATGCTCTATTACACACATATAGTCACCCTTAAAAATATATGTCCAAAATTCTAAACCTTGAACCTTTGAATGTGGCCTTATTTGGGAAAAAGGTTTTTGTAATTGTCATTAAGGATCTTGAGTTGGGGTCATCCTGGGTTTGGGAGGGTCCTAAATCCTATAACAGATGTCCTTATAAAAGAAGGGCAAAGGGAGATTTGAGACAAAGAGCCACACAAAGGAGAAGGTAATGTGAATACACAAGTGAAAACTGGTTTGACATATCTACAAACCGGGAATGCCAAGGATTGCAAATGTCCACCAGAAGCTGGGAGAGAAGCACAGAACAGGTTCTCCCTCAGAGCCTCCAGAAGGAACAAACACTATTGACATCTTGATTTTGGGCTTCTGACCTCAAGACTGAGAGAGAATAGGTTTCTGTGTTTGAAGTCGACTAGTTTTTGGTGATTTGTTATGGCCACCCTCGGACACTAATACAACACCTCTATTTTGTGTGCCTTGATTGATTTTTTTTTTAAAGATTTTATTTATTTATTTGAGACAGAGAGAATGAGAGACAGAGAGCATGAGAGGGAGGAGGGTCAGAGGGAGAAGCAGACTCCCCGCCGAGCAGGGAGCCCGATGCGGGACTCGATCCCGGGACTCCAGGATCATGACCTGAGCCGAAGGCAGTCGCTTAACCAACTGAGCCACCCAGGCGCCCTGCCTTGATTGATTTCAGTGGTTCCCAAGATTTGTTTCCTGGTAACACGATAAATCTCCTAGTCATAGCCACACTTCCAATTTCAGTAAGCTAATAATTATTTTCTTAATTTCAGAGAATTTATTCCAACTTTAGAGGATATTTGCCCATGTTAACAACAACAGGAGGTGACACTAAGCTCTGACCTAAGGAGATACAAGGACATGCATCCTCCTGCATCCTCACCTTCTCTCCACTGGGCCCTCTCCTTTATAAGTTGCTCAGATCTCATCTCAGAAATAAGGAAAACACTTCCCTATAGCCCTCTAATCATCATCTCATGATCATTTCATGATTAAACATTTAACCTTGACAGTCTGCTACCCTCTCCTTTTTCATATTCCCTTCCTCTCAAAGGACTTGTTCATCTCAACACTACTCTCAGAAACTCAACTACAACTGCTGATGGGTGTCCTGACCAAATCCAATTACTTTACTGGTCAGCCTTTTGGGGTTATTTGGCTGTATGCATCAGACACCTACCCCTTTCATGAGCCTTTTCCCTCCCTACCTTTTGCTCCCATAACAAACTCGATGCTCCCGTCCATGGCTTGCGTTTTCTGTATTGGAATGATCTGGATTCTTTTTTTTAATGATGAAGTTCTTCTAAATTTTAGAATAACATTGAAGCTTTCCTGCTTGGTCTTGTGGTGGTTTCCCTTGAGTTAGGACAAAGATTTAGATGTTTTTTGTTTTGTTTGTGAGATTCTTAAATATTCTGCCCCTTCTTATCTTCAATCTTCTTTCCTTTCACTTTTGTATAGCAACCTCAAGTTTTTCATTTCTTTCAGAGCATTATTTGCTTTTGGACTCTTTACCTTTTCAAATATGCCATTGGAATTGTTTTAAAGGTATTTGGTATCCCTTAATTATATCCTTCCACTGTTTAGGAATGAGCAGTTATAAGGGGCAAGGAAGAAAAAAAAAATAATAGAGAGAAAATGTTTCTTTAGCATGAATTCCCTGAAGAAAATGCACATCTGTATCAGGTTGCAACAACCAAAGGTAGGTCTGCACTGCAGGCCATGCCATTTAAAACGTATCCTTGTTCTCTGAAATGATCAGAGAGTAGACTCTCCTCAAAAGCCCCAAGACTCAGAGATAAACTCCTTTATAAAGAAATGCTAAAGAGGTTTTTTGAAAGATTTTAGTAAAAGCATTCTTCCAGTATCCCATATACCAGACTGATAAACATTTACCTTTCTCCCAAGGTTAAAAGAGCAAATCTTCCCCATCACAGACTTTTCAAATGTCCAAGCTACCATCTGACATACAGTAGATGGAGGAAGTCTAGCTTCTAGACTCAGGTTCCTCTGTAGAGAATAATCAGCTTAAACATGTAAAAGCTCAAATGCATAATTCTTCTAACAGTGTTACAGAATTATCCATTGTTCTCATAAAACCTTCAGCAGGTTTTATAATAAATTGTTTTTGGAAAGGGTTTGGGCCTGGAAAAGGGATCTGGGGGCCAAAAGGTGCCCTATTATTTTCTTTGATTACTTTCCCAAATTAGGGGCAGTTTAAAAAAAAAATTATCTAGATTGCATTAATCTCTGTGTTCTGTTTTAAAGTTCTAGTAAGGTAAAAGGTGTTCATAAGGTGGGAGAAGTGGATGTAGGACATCCAGAAAGCCTTCTTATTCCTTGGGTTTAGTCACATTAACTCTCCTGACCAAAAACCACAAAATTAATCAGGAAACACACGAAAGGGGTGTTTTCATAAAGCAGGGATTACAAATTAAAGCTCAAAAACATATTCAAAGGGTCACATAAACAGCTCCCCATCTAAACCTAGCTGGTTCTTCTTCCTAGTGGTGGGCTGTTTCCTGTGTCAGAAACTCAGGGAGAGGAATAAGAAGGCACAGCTGGAAAGAGAGGAAACTCTGAAGCTATTGTAGATTCTTGACTCTTTCTTAAGGCCTAACATAGAACAACAAGTTGGGAAAGAAACTTTGCTAAGTCAAGAAAATTAGCTCCCCTTTGAGCACAGATACATAACTTGGATTCTGGACTTAACACAAACCTCCCTGAAAGAATGCAGGAACTTTCCCTTTCCATGGCACAAGAATCAGATGACTAGAAGAGATTTTGGAGCTTGCAACATCTTTTTTTCAGTTTCTGAGAAGGTTCTGAGAAATGTATACCAGAAGACTGCTTGAGTCATCTTATGACAAGTATATCCCTTGCACAAGAAAAAAAAAATCTGCTAGTTTGTTTAGCCCTTAAAGTGGATTCATGCAAGACATCTAGTATTTAGAACCTGGAATATACCAAGTATAGGGATTAATGTGTATAGGGAGAAGTTTGGCTGGCACCTCCTTATTCTTGCTGGCACCCTTTCCTTCAGTAGGATTGTGTGGGTATCAGCAGTGCTAGTATTTAATGATTCCAGGGTTCTCAACAATATCCTGACACATGTGTCCCCCCTCTCTCCCAGGCAAT